TCCACAGGTTAATTGTTCTAACTGTCAGGAAGTTTCTCCTTAGTTCTAGGCTGCTTCTCTCCTTGACTAGTTTCCATCCGTTGCTTCTTGTCCTGCCTTCTATTCTATTCTACTCCACTCCACTCTACTCTACCCTACTCTACCCTACCCTATCCTATCCCATGATTAAAATAATAATAATAATAATAATAATAATAATGATAATGATAATGATGATGATGATGATGATGATGATGATGATGATGATGATGATGATGATGATGATGATAAAGTTGGAAGGGACTTTGGAGGTCATCAAGTCCAACCCCCTGCTCAGGCAGGAACCCTACACCATTTCAGACAAATGGCTGTCCAGTCTCTTCTTAAAAACTTCCAGTGTTGGAGCATTCACTGCTTCTGGAGGCAGGTTGTTCCACTGGTTAATTGTTCTAACTGTCAGGAAGTTTCTCCTTAGTTCCAGGTTGCTTCTCTCCTTGATGAGTTTCCACCCGTTGCTTCTTGTCCAGCCTTCAGACGCTTTGGGGAATAGCTTGACTCCCTCTTCTTTGGGGCAGCCCCTGAGATACTGGAAGACTGCTATCATGTCCCCCCTCGTCCTTCTCTTCATTAAACTAGACATCCCCAATTCCAGCAACCGTTCCTTATATGTTTTAGCCTCCAGTCCCCTAATCATCAAGAATGACCCAAGGAGTTCCTTCGGTGTAGCTTCTTTATTGTTGCTCGCCTGTAGACAGGAATCTTGCCAGACTAAAGCACAAATCTGATTACTATTAGATACACCCTGTGGAAGGTTAGGGAGGGCCAGCCCTGCTTCTCTTCCTGCACCCCAAGGATTCCATTCTGAGCTGCCTCTTTTTTGCCCCTTGGGAAAGACCCCACCCCTCCTTCCTGTGAACCTGTGCCACCTTCCACTCCATCTTGCCTGGGAGGAAGCAGGTAAACTGAGGAAGGCGCCCTTGATGGAGATGTGCAGAAGCCGTTGCCTAGGCAAAAGGGGCTGAAACACTGACCCCTCCCTAATTCACTGGAACGTAAGGGGTTGCGTAGGTCCAACACAAGCAGACTTGCGAGATTCTCTCTCCTGATGGCCCATCTCAATAAAAGCGGATTTAGCTTTCCTGTGAAATTGACTTCCTAGTCCGGTCTACGCGGTAAGGCTGGCAAGTAACAACAGAGTTAAATTGGCAGGAATGCTGGCTGGAGTTGAATCCATCCATGTTAGAGCTGCCCAAGTTGAGAATCACCAAGACGAGAAATAGCAGAAACCAACATACAAATGTGCTGATCAGTGGTTTTATTTTACTCACTGTGTTTATTGAAGAAGCAGCTTAACCCCACCCCACCCCATCCCACCCTGACCCCTTTAGAGAGATAAGACTTTTAAATCACTCCTGGTCACTGTTAGCATCTGAGCATCCCTCTCTGGCAAACTGTCTTTGGCTTCCATCTGCCTTGGACCAGAACAGCCCAGCCAGAAGAAGCTGTTGCAAACCCCGTGTGCTTTTCTCGTCTCCCAGCGATCGTCTCCTGATGTGAAAGCCGAACTCTATGAGCTGCTTTTTCGGATTTTGCACCACAACTGGCGATACTTCTTCAAGTCCAACATCCTGGCCAGCGTCCAGAGAGGAGGAGCCGAGGAGCAGATGGAGAACGAAGCCCAGTTCTCTGCCATTATGCAGGTATCATAAAAGGAGGAGGAGGAGCAGGAGGTTCAGTCGTGTCCGACTCTTGGTGATTCTGTGGGCCAGGTCTCTCCACCTCTTCTGATCTTGCAGTAATACTTTTGAGTTTTTCTGCGCTCTAGCTGGGGTCAGCTTTGACGGTGTCCAGCCACCATGTTCTTTGACGGTCCGGTTTATCGTAACAGCCGGCAACAAAGGCTGAAATCGCAGCTAGAGAGATGCATCAGGCCTTGCTCTGTTACCTAAGTGGGATTTTAGCCCTCTTAAACGGGTTTCATAATATAATAACGAATAGTTACAAGAGCATGGCACCTTCCAGTAGCTGTGGTACCTTCCAGTAGCTGTGGTATCTGTTGTGCTTACAAGCACAAACCCAGAATTCTCGTCGTTCCGGCTCATCTGGAAAAACTCAATAAACCAAGAGTCTCATTGCTTAATGATGGAGGTAGTCCTCAACATACAAACGCGGTGAAGGCTGTCCGTCACGGTTGTAGGTCATGATGGTTGTAAATCGGTCACAATGACACAACCCCATTTTACCATGTTCATTGCAGTTGGTTGTTAAGCTGTTGCCATCATAAAACAAACACCACAGTTGTTAAGCAATCCTGTTGTTTGCTGTGGCACTGTGTTAACTATTAGGCACATATACACTCTCCCTCTCTCTCTCTCTCTCTCTCTCTCTCTCTCTCTCTCTCTCTCTCTGTGTGTGTGTGTGTGTGTGTGTGTGTGTGTGTGTGTGTGTGTATCCTTGATAGCTGCAAAAATAGTTCTTTTTATTGTTTTTAAATATCTTTTTTAGCAATAAACAACTGGTTTATACCTCTCCCAGAGATCAAAGGCTGTGTTGTTGAACACACACACACACACACACACACACATGTATACACACACACACACACACACACACACACACTGTATAGCAGAGGTCCCCAACCTTTTGGGCACCAGGGACCGGTTCCGTGGAGAGAGGTTTTTCTGCGGATCCCACTGGCATTGACAAATTCATCAGTCAATTGCAAAAGGCAGCTTTACTCAGAACAGCTTAAATCCTGCAACCATATCTCTAACACCATCAAACATCAACATCTGCCTATCCCAGGCTCTTGGGAAGCACTGTCTAGGTCAGAGGTCCCAAACTTTTTGGGCACCAGGGATCGGTTCCGTGGAAGGAGGTTTTTCCACGGACCGGAGAGTGCATGTTTTGTGTGCTGCCTGCATCCTGCGGATGGGGCTTTGCTTGTTTGTGCGGACCGGTTGCTGGCATGCCACGGCCCAATACCGGTCCACGGCCCAGGGGTTAGGGACCCCTGCTATATAGCATGGGTATACCGGTATGTGTGTTCTGTACGTGTATGAGTAGATATATACTTTCTTTTGAGAGCAGGCCACAGAAGTTCGTATTTAACGTGGGCCAGTGTGCTCGCAGTAAAAAAAAAAATGACAATAAAGCTTATCTTGTCTTAAAATATATGGACGCCAGCTCCCAGAATTCGCTGGCCAGCAGTTTTAATGCACACTGTTCCCAAGAAGGCAGAAGCAATTCCTTTAGTGTATGTCCACGTTCTGTGCTGCCAGAAAGGTAATCTCTTTGTGCCATCAGTTGTCGCCACTGGGCCTCAGCCACCCACTCCTGAGACCTCTCTCTTCCCCAGGCATTCGGCCAGTCCTTCCTGCAGCCGGACATACACCTGTTCAAGCAGAACCTGTTCTACCTGGAGACTTTGAACACCAAGCAGAAACTGTACCACAAGGTGAGCCGGGGTTTATTCTTGAAGCAGAGGGGGTTGATCACCGTCAGAAAATATTCTTCCCACAACTGCCTGCATATCAAGGACTGTCGGCTCAGCAAAAGCCTGGCACACGCCATTTCTGGAACAACTCCCCACAAAAGCGCAACTATATCTGTAACGAAATGGTAGATTTTCGGGGCGGGGTCCCCCGTTTTCACCTTGGTTTTTTTGTTTTTTTGTTTGTTTCCCGTTTGCTGCAGAAGATCTTCCAGGCGTCGATGCTCTTTCAGTTTGTGAATGTGCTGCTTCAGGTCCTGGTCCACAAATCCCACGACCTCTTGCAGGAGGAAATCGGCATCGCCATCTACAACATGGCCTCCGTGGACTTTGACAGCTTCTACTCGGCTTTCCTCCCAGGGTTTTTAGCCGGCTGCGACAGGGTGGACACCAACCAGAAAAACGTCCTGGGGAGGAACTTCAAAATGGACAGGGTGAATTTGGGCTGAAGCTCGGCTGGGGTTGCCCTGGTGGTCTCCTTTATCCATGGTGGCCAGTACAGGCGGTCCTCGACTTAACAACTGTTCGTTTAGTGACGGTTCAAAGTTAACTGTGGCACTAGTGAATTGACCTGACTGTTTTTCACACTTAAGACTGTGGCGGCATCCCCATGATCACATGATCAGAACTCAGAGGCTTGGCAACTGGCATGTACTTAGGACAGTTGCCCTGTTTCCAAGGTCACATGATCCCCTTTTGCAACCTTCTGACAATTAAAGTCAATGAGGGAAGCCAGATTTGCTTAACGACCATGTTACTAACTTATTAACTGCAGTGACTCACTTAACAACTGCGACAAGAAAGGTTGCAAAATGGGGCCAACTCCCTTGACAACTGTCTCGCTTAGCAACAGAAACCTTGGGCTCCGCTTGTGGTCGTAAGTCGAGGACTGCCTGTATAATTTCCTTGGAAAGGCCATCACATTTTAATCCCGCCCGCGGCGTTCCCCAACTTTCCTCTTCCACAGCCATCCCGAAGTGCTCCTGGAGTTTCTTTCCACCCAGTCCTCTTCCTGGGTGGCATTTCCGGGAAGGCAGACCACGGCTTTATTTTCCGAGAATCGTAAAAATAGAAATTGTTCCCCAGAAACCATGGACTTTGCATTGTTTGCTTGCGTGTTTCTACATTGGCTCGGCGGCTTTTCATCAAATAGTGCATTTGGAAAGGAAAATTGATTGAGAAAGCTCATTTAGTTTTCAGTGGAGGCTGCTAAATCCAAAATGTCCTCAGTCGTGTCCGGTGTCCCTTCCTGAACTTTTGCAGGTCGTCCTTACAACTTACACTTACAACCATTTGTATAGTGACCGTTTGAAATGACGACACTGCTGAAAAAAGGGGCTCACGACCGTTTTTCGCACTTACAACCGTTGTAGCATCTCCATGTCACGTGGTCAAAATTCAGACGCTTGGCCGCTGGCTCATATTTATGGCGGTCGCAGTGTCCCCGGGTCACGTGATCCCCTTTTGTGACCGTCTTACGAGCAAAGTCAAGGGGGGAAGCCAGATTCCCCTCACAACCCTGTTACTCACTTAATAACTGCAGTGATTCATTTAAGCCCTGTGGTAAGACAGGTCGTAAAATGGGGCAAAACTCACTTAACAGGCGTCTCATTTAACAGAAGAAAGGTTGGGTTCAGATGTGGTTGTAAGTGAAGGACTACCTGTATTTAGTAAATGGAGCCCTCCCAAGATCCTATTGAAAATTGAGCATTTTCCATTACAGTCTCTGACACTAAAGCTTTCACACGCGTCAAACTCATCCCTAAACCAAGTTTACAAAGCCCCTAAGCTGGGTCCCCACAATCATGCTCACTCAGAACCAGGAAGTCCATCATGTGGGGGATCTTTTTTATAGAATCTGCTGCTTTCTGGGTCCCAGAGTTCCATGGGGGGTGGGGGTTCTGGACTCCCAAACTTAAGTACAAGAAAATCTTTGGGGAATAAAAGCTTAATAAAACCGAGCCATAAAAACGACAGAGAAATCAATAAAAGGCGAATATTTGTAGCTCGGGGTTGAAATGAAGGGTCCTTGGTGCTCTCTGAGCTTGGTTGTTTTCTTGCAGACATGTTTCATGACCCATCTAGGTGACATCAGTGCTAATCCCTTCTGGCACTGATGATGTCACCTAGTTGGGTAATGAAATGTCTGCAACAAAACCACCCAGCTCAGAGAGCACTGGGGAGCCCCCTGACAGAGAAACGCCTGGCTCCTGTTGTAAGCAGCCTTTCTGAGCCTCCAGCTGATCAGAGCTTAACTAGCAAAGACTCAACTTTGCGTCTAACCCACTTCCCTCTGCCGTGTTCTTCCTCCTTCCTAGGATCTGCCATCCTTCACCCAGAATGTGCACAGGCTGGTCAACGATCTGCGCTACTACAGACTCTGCAACGACAGCTTGCCCCCGGGGACCGTGAAGTTGTAGCTGCCGGCGACGGACTCAGCATTTCCAAATCTCCGTTAAGGAGTGGATCTGGCGTTGCCACTGCCTCCGACAGGCCCTTCGGGGTGCAGAGCGCCCCCCCCCCATACACACACACACACACACACACATGTGCGCGGGCCAGGCACGGAAGGCAGAGGCCGTGCTCCTCCCTTCGTTTCGTCCCATCTCGACTTCACAGCTGAGTGGGCAGCTCTTTCTCCCGCCGGGACTCGGAAGCCCGGAGACCGTCTGCTCCTCCTGGCCGGCTGTTTGTGTCTTAATACCGTGGCGGCGTTCAATTCAAGTCTGCAGGTTCCGGTGACTCGGCTTGGGCAGCAAATCATGAGGCCGAAACGCCAAAGTCTACTTGAGGAGGGGGGGGTGTCTTCCCACCTTTCATGCCATTCCACCTGCTGCCTCAGTTCCCCCATTGCTGAGAGGACGGGGTCCCTCCCCATCGCCTTCCCCCCCCTGTGCTGTTTTTACAATGCCTTGAACCCTCCCTGCCCTTGGTGGAGATTGGAAGAGGGAGAGCGCGTGCGAGAGAGAGAGAGAGAGAGAGAGACCAACAGACTGACCTGTTTCTTTTATTATTATTATTATTTTTTAAACCGTGGTTTTGTTTTGTTTTCCTCATCATTCCATTGTGATACTAAAATGTGCTTAATGGAAATAAAAATGCTTACTTGGTGGTTTTAAACAGAGGGGAAAGCAGCCTGACTCTCTCTTAGAAGGACCTGAGGTCCGAGGACGTCCAGATGCCGTCGCTGGAGGGTCCCCCTAATATTTCTTCGGGGTGTGAAATGCATCGAGCTCTGTGTGAGCCCCTGGATTAGATGATCGGTAAATTAGTTTTGACTCTGGCCCTGGACAGGTAGTCCTCGACTTACAACAGTTTATTTAGTGACTGTTCGAAGTTACAATGGCATTGGAAAAATTGACTTATGACCGTTTTTCACACTTACGGCTAGAGCAGGGGTAGGCCACCTTGGCTCTTTTATGACTCGTGGACTTCAACTCCCAGAATTCCTGAGCCAGCCACGCTGAGGGGAAAGAGAGAGAGGTTTCCAAGCTGAGCCATGCTGGCTCAGGAATTCTGGGAGTTGAAGTCCACGAGTCATGAAGGGGCCATAGTTTTCCCCATGCTGGCTCAGGAATTCTGGGAGTTGAAGTCCACGAGTCATGAAGGGGCCAAAGTTTTCCCCATGCTGGCTCAGGAATTCTGGGAGTTGAAGTCCACCAGTCATAAAAGAGCCAAGGTTGCCTACCCTTGAGCTAGTCATGTGATCAGATGCTTGGCCACACTCCTATTTATGACAGTTGAAGTGTCCTGGGGGGGTCACACGATCCCCTTTGGCGACCGTCTGACAAGCAAAGTCAATGGGGAAAAAGCCAGGTTCACTTAAAAACCATGTTTCAAACTTAACAACTGCACTGATTCCCTTAATAATGACAAGCAAGGTCATAAAACGGTGCAAAACTCACTTTACAAATGTCTGTCATAGTAACAGAAATTTTGGGCTCAATTGCGGTTGTAAGTTAAGGACTACCTGTATACTACATTGTTTTATACTGATTTTTTTAATATTTTTATTTTAAAAAGACATGCTTTTCTTCATAATAGCCTAATAAGGTAGACTGCCCCTGTGTTTCTCCTCCTGGCTGATAAATGGACGCTGAGTGAGCTGCTTAAGGCCAGGTGGTGAAGAGGTGGATAAACTGAGGCACGGATATTTCAGCTTCGATCCCTGAACCCCTTTACCATATTAATTCTGCCAATGCTGGGCTTTCATGCTGTTGGCAGTGCTTGGGTTTATTTTTAATTCTGGAGCTCTGGATTTTCTCACTGGTGATTTTTGTTCCAGATAGGAACGATCTGGGCAGACCAGACGCTGTAATCCTTTGGGCCCATTTTTTTTCTGTCCTCGCCTTATTCTTTGACTTTGTAGGTGCTGAAATGTGGAATCTCAGCCCAAGGTTAAGAGTGGATTTTGGTCCCGGAGTCCCTGTCCTGGTCATGGGATCCGTAGCTTGCGAAAAACCTTGTGGCAAGTTGCATGTTTACCCCCTGTGCATATTTTATTCATCAGGATCGATCGACCAAGGGCACGGATTTATTTGGACAGTGTCTGGAGCCCGCTGAAAGCAACCGTGTCTTTCGACATTTGCGGCTTGACTTTCCTAAAACACCAATATTTAGAAAAAAACCCCAAATGTTGTCTTCCTAGCCTCACATGGTTAGAGATTGTGAAGTGGGGTCGGTTATGTGAGCGATCCAGATTTGTGGTGGTGTTTGCAGCCGTCATTAAACATACACAGTGGGCATTAAACATCGCAGTTCTTAAGCAAAGCAGTGGTTTCCTACGGGTGAAGTTTTGCCAGAAACGGGAAGTAAGAGCCAGTTTTCTGCAAAACTTCGTAAAAAGCGGTCTTATGAACACCCCATCCCACCCCCAACACCCTGCAAATGGTTGCCAAACAGCCACACTTTTGTTAGAGGGTTTGACTGTGGGAACTTTGAATCCGGATCAAAAGTATCCTTTTCCGGGTGAGTCGCTAAGGGACTGATCGTAACTTGAGAACTACTTGTATTTCAGCCTAGTAGGGGATTGGGGACCTGCTTTAATGGAAAGTTGGGGTAATATTTTGGGAAAATGAGCGGAAAAGCTGGGACAATGGAACCGGGGGGATTTTAAAGGCCAGAAATTGAGAGTGGTCTTCCTTGTAGTCAGAGCCCATCTGTGTTGGGTAAGAGCAAATATTTGTTCAGTTTACTGGTAAAGGCTTCCAGCACTTATGGTTTCAATGATTCAATATAAGGTGGTTGTGTGCCCCATCCCTCACTGAGTGGGTTTAGCTGTTGTCCATTCTAAACCTGAAAAAGGAAAGGAAAGGAAAGGAAAGGAAGAGGGAGGGAAGAAGGGAAGGAAGGAAGGAAGGAGAAAAAGAGAAGAAAAGTTTGGGGAAGTGGCAATTTTGGAGAAAACAGAGAACATCAACCTAGAATTACGTATGAGAATTGAAGAGCCGCATCAGGAATTAACGCCTGGAGGGAGGAAAAAAACTCTGCCCTTGATGATAATGCTAATATTTTCTCTGGGTCTTTGCTCTAAATGAACTCTGAAACTGAGCTTTTGGGATTGCAGCCAGATTGGGAGCTGGGGGGGGTCAGTGGACAGCTTTGGAGAACGTGAAATACTTTGGGGGGGGGGAAGAAACTTGTGGTTCAAGGCCTGATTGGCATCTAAATTTTGGCTGGTGGACTGTTCCTCTTGTGGTTGACCTGCACGCATGATTTTACTTATTTAATTATTTGATTTCTGTAACCACCCATCTCAACAAGGGATTCTGATTGCATTGGTCTGTCTTCTTGGTTTGGCCAGTCGCTCACTTCTCCCGAGTTCTAGTCCTGCCTTAGGGCTGAAAGTTGGCTGGGTAACTTTGGGACAATCACCAAGAGACTGAGAGTTTCTAGTTCTGCCTTGGCCATGAAAGCCAGCTGGGTGACTTTGACCAGTCCCTCTCTCTCAGCCTTACCTACCTCACAAGGTTGTTGTTGTGGGGAGAATAGGACGAAGAAGTATGAAATATGTTTGCTGCCTTATGTCTAAAAATGACCTAATAAACTGCAGTGATTCGCTTCAGTGGCAAAAAGGTCATAACCTTGTATATGATTCAGTTAACAGCTGCCTCACTTAGCAACAGAAATTCTGGACCCAATTGTGGTACTAAGTTGAGAACTACTTAGTTCTCTACCCAACTCACTAATTGGACAGTACAAGTATGTGTCAGGGCTGGATTAAACCTATAAAAATCCCAAGGGCCCATAGAAGAACTTTCAGCTGCTCCAATCTATATTACCTAGATCAGTGTTTCTCAACCTTGACAATTTTAAGGCATGTGGACTTCAACTCCCAGAATTCCACAGCCAGCATTGCTGGCTGTGGAATTCTGGGAGTTGAAGTCCACATGCCTTAAAATTGTCAAGGTTGAGAAACACTGACCTAGATCTCTTTGATTAGATCAGAGGTCTCCAACCTTGGCAACGTTAAGACCTGTGGACTTCAATTCCCAGAATTCCCCAGCGGTGGAGAAGTTGCCAAGTTTGGAGACCTCTGGATCATAGGACAGCACTTGTACTTTGAATACAATGCAAATTCATCTGGTTTGGAGATTCAGAAATTATGAGAGGGCCAAAAGACTACGAAAGCTTAAGGCAGTGGTGGGATTCAATTAGGCAAACAACCGGTTCTCTGCATGGATGCCGCTTCTGGAAGTCCATTCTGGGCCTGGGCAACCAAAAATGAGCTGCCGGTTCTGCCGAAGTGGTGCGAACTGGCTGAATCCCACCACTGACTTCAGGGCAGCAGTTCTGTGGGTCCTATGGATTGTCCCACCCAGATTCCAATCTGAAATATGATTTGGATGGAGGAAATGAGGATGGTAAATAAAGGAAGTATCAGAGCCGCTAATGAAGGAGCATCTAGTCTGTTTTCCAGGCTTGGTGGTGGAACATTTCCGCTCTCTGGAGTAATCGTTTTAATGTTGCACACGAGGGTAGAGCGGTGTCTGTATTGCCCAACAATAATAAGCTCTATGGATTATTTGACCCAGGGCTTCTTGAAGATGTCTAGTGGCTTTGTATAGCGGGGGGGGGGGGAATTGTGGACCTCCTTTTGTTTGGTTTTCTTTGTGCAGCCGATGGTGCCACTGCTACGTGCGTGGATTGTTTCTTGGGGGGCACCCTTTGTTTTAAAGGGGAGGGGGAGGCATCTAATGGCCATCTGCGCTTCTGCTTGATCCATCGCATCCAACTCTTCCAGCTGATGGAGAAAAAGGCTTTTATTGTTTTTATGGCGATTTTTTTTGGGGGGGGGGATACCAAAACGGGGACCGACGAAAGAGGCCACCCACCACCTGTCCTAGACTCCTTTCGCAGGGAAAGAAGTGGTTAAGCCATGGTTTGCTTCGACCCCGCGGGAGCGCGCCGGGGCCCGGGGGGAGGAGGAGGACGAGGGCTGGGCGGGCAGCTAGTCGGTCTCTTTAAGGGATGCCCCCAGCCTTCCGCCCGGCCGGCCCGCCCTCCCTCCAGCCCTGGGGTGGAGCCAAGGGGGCTGCTGCAGGAGCCGAAGCAGCGGCCCCCGAGGCTATAAACCCGGCCGGCCCCTCTTGCCCGGCTCGGCAGCGGCAGGCATGGGGGTGCTGCAGCGCTGCCTGGCCCGGGGACAGTGGCGCTTGGGGAGCCTCCAGCCGCTGGCCGCTGCGCCCTGCCTTCGCCTTCCCGGAGCGCGGCTGTATGGCTCGGGTGAGTGAGTCGAGGGGGGGCTCCGGGCCTGGGGTGGGGGGGAGATGGGGTCTCGCGAAGGAAACAGGCAGCAAGCTCTTCTCTGCCTGCCTGCCTGCCTCTCTCTCTCTCTCCCCCCAAAGGCTGCGCGCCCTGGGCGCAAAGGAGGCGGAAGGCAGCGCTGCAGCCGGGCGCAGGTTGGCAACTCTGGGGGGGGGGCATCTCATTGGAAGGAGGCTGCGGCTGGGCACATCTGGCAGAGGCTCCCTCCAGAAAGGCGGAGAGGGGCAATAATAATAATAATAATAATAATAATAATAATAATAATAATAATAAAGTTGGAAGGGACCTTGGAGGTCATCTAGTCCAACCCCCTGCTCAGGCAAGAAAGCCTACACCATTTCAGACAAATGGCTGTCCTGTCTCTTCTTAAAGACTTCCAGTGTTGGAGCATTCACCGCTTCTGGAGGCAGGTTGTTCCACTGGTTAATTGTTCTCACTGTCAGGAAGTTTCTCCTTAGTTCTAGGTTGCTTCTCTCCTTGCTTAGTTTACACCCGTTGCTTCTTGTCCTGCCTTCAGGCGCTTTGGAGAATAGCTTGACTCCTTCTTCTTTGGGGCAGCCCCTGAGATATTGGAAGACTGCTATCATGTCCCCCCTCGTCCTTCTCTTCGTTAAACTAGACATCCCCAATTCCAGCAGCCTTTCCTTATATGTTTCAGCCTCCAGTCCCCTAATCATCTTTGTTGCTCTTCTCTGTACTCTTTCTAGAGTCTCAACATCTTTTTTACATCGTGGTGACCAAAACTGGATGCAGTATTCCAAGTGTGGCCTCACATGGTATTAACACTTCATGTGATCTTTATTCTATCCCTCTGTTAATGCAGCCCAGCACTGTGTTGGCCTTTTTGGCAGCTGCAGCACACGGCTGGCTCACATTTAGGTGATTGTTCACTAGGACTTTTGGGGGGCTCGTGGTCTTTCAGGGCTTTTGCTTCCCGAGCTTCCCATCCTCCAGAGCACGGGTGTCCAAACTTGGCAACTTTTTAAGACTTGGGGACTTCAACTCCCAGAATTCCAGCCAGCGTGGGGAATTCTGGGAGCTGAAACCCACAAGTCTTAAAAGTTGCCAAGTTTGAAGCACCTCTGTTCCAGAGCGAGGGCAAGGCGCGGGTGGGCTGGGCATTGCTGAGGGTTACTTTCTGGGGATTGGAGAAGAAGCTGGATCCGATTCCTGGCGCCTCTCCGAGTTGAAGGGCGCTTTTTCTAGAGATGGGCCAGGTTGAGTGAGGCCGATTGAAAGTTGGGCATTCCACAGGGCCTACCTTACAGGGCTAGCGCTAGCACTGATGAACCTTCATGTCAGATTCCAGATTCCTCAATTGCAGCCCTGCACACAGAATCACAGTATTTTACAATCTGAAAAGGCTAACAAATTCAGAGTGGCATCAGCCTACCAAGATGGTGCCCCAAGTCCAGATGGTGCAAGGGGACCCCAGTTGGAACAACTGAGATTGGTGGTTATGCTGTGAAGGCTTCCTTTGGGATCTTTTGCCAAGTGCGCTGCCTTAGCCAGCAAAGATGGGATCTCCTAGTGGTCTCCCATTCAACCCAGAGGAGGATAATCGGAAAACAGAAAGACAGGCACAAATCACACCGATAATCATTATTCCTCTCATTTAGTATTTCTCATCCTCACAAGTTTAAGAAGTATGGACTTCAACTCCCAGAATTCCCCACCAGCATACATGCATGTTGGCTGGGGAATTCTGGGAGTTGAAGTCCATCTTGCCAAGTTTGAAAAACACGGCTTTAATTAAATATGTTCTCCTTTTAATGGTCTTCTTGAGTATTTGTTATCTTTGCTACACTGCAATTGATTTATTTTGGTTAAAGGTGGGTCCTGCCACGTATGATTCCCAAGCAAAATCTGGGTGCCTAAAACCCCAAGTTTGTTTAATCGCAGCTTGTTGAGTAAATTGCCTGGGTTTACTGTACACACTGAGCTGCGAACCGTGGTTTTACATGATGCATTAAGCTGCAAATTTCAATACAGCTTTATATGAAGCTAAACTTGGTCCTTTCTTCTTCCCAGCCTCGTCCTTCCGGTTATGCTTCCCTGCCTTTCAAATAATATTCGGCGCCTGTCTCCTTTGCTTTCCAGACTTATACACCATCACCAGGAAGTTAATACCACTGGGAAAAGGAGGGGCAAAAAAGTCTGAAGCACAAAGCTTTATGCTTTTCACTGCTTTTTTTCAAAGTCTTGGGAACTGACTAGGCGATCAGTTCTCAGTTTACTTCTTTTTTTTCATTGATGACTTCAAAATTGTTAGAGGGCATCGGTCAACCACTTCAACTGTTTTTCCCTCTGCAAAGCTGAGAATGGATAGAATTCACATTTTAATTTTAAAACATCCTTAGGAGTGAGAGCAGTTCTCTTAAAGAGAAACCCGTTGGAGTCCATCAAGTAATTTTTAAGTGCTATGGACTCTGTTGGACTGTGTCAGTTTCATAGAGTTAGGCTGTGATCATCCATCGTTATGAACAATATGTTAGCCTTTCTTCTTAAACCAATATTTGGGAAATTTTAAATTGGAGACCAGGAAAATAATCCCCTGAAATATAAAAGGTTGCCATATAATAAATTGGACAAATAGCAGAGTTCACACTTTGGGTTAAGTCATCATATGGACAGTTAGATTACAGCTCCATGAATCCTAGTGCTTCAGCTACACTCAAGTAAAAGAAACGATGCTTTTGTGTGATGTGTGAACTAATTCTCTAGTGGTCCAATCATGCTCACTCCAATTAGCAGTTGCTCTCAAGTTGTCAGGCACAACCATCATGACCTATTCCCAATCCCTTTTTGATAAGTCAACACTGAATATTAATATCAGAGAGCGATCTTCTTTATCTAAACCAATTGCTCTCTCATTGAATCCTCATCCTTTCAGCTAATTGGTTGTTCATTAAGAGACAACTAGGTCCTGCTACGTAGCTGAGTCTAGAGAATTAAGGCTTGAAGAAAGTTGCAGTTGACTAAACATTATTTTTGGAGATGTTGGCTTATGTTGATACTCATAACTTTGGAGTGATAAATGGAGGACAAAAAAGTTGCTAAGTCAAGCTATGGGCAACTCAAAAACTCTGCTAAATCGGACCTGGTATCTCCTGGTGAAACACAGATGGACTTCATGAACCAAAGCAATTTTGCTTCACTATGAATGATTGAATAAAGGACACTTGGCCAGTTGTGTACAAAACACTAAGTTACCAGCCACAGATTACAAATCTTAGCTCTTGGGCTCGCCCAGCCCACAAGACTGAAGCCATGCAAATCGCATGTCTGGCTTAGTTCACACGTTCTGTTAAAACCCGTAGTAGTGTAGCATTCAAGGGCCCCTATCTCTGATTCTGGAAAAAAAAAACCTATATAAATTTTCCTTTGCTCTCTTGTATTAGGTAAGTCACCCGGAATACATTTTGAAGTCAGGCAGGCTTCTAAATCAAATAAAGTGAATAGCCGATGGTGGCCATCTTCCCAAATGGGTTTTTTTATTAATGAAGTCTAATAGATGATCCCACCTGCAAACTCAAGGACTGAATCCAACTTTTCTTATTGATGTTTTCCCTTTTAGGGACTTTTATTCCAGACAGTTGCCCATGTGCTGATCTGGAACAGTAGCTATAGAAACAGGTGCAACTCCTTAAGAGAATTGCACACACACCTACACACACAGCTTGAATCGCAAAGCCTGGGTGGCCCCATTTCTTGCAGAGACATACAATTCCACCTTGCCAGGTGTCTTGGCAGGCAACTGCCAAAGAGCAAATTAATCACCAGGAATCAGGCACTGTGTTTGGAGCGTGTCCAGCTTACCTTTGCTGACCTCAAAAGACTCAAGAGAGCCCTGAACTGGGATCTGCTAGCTAGATGTAATAATTGGCACTTTGATCCCCAGGATCAAAGCAAGGAAATGGGTAATCCCGAGAAGCAGGAACACAGAGGAGGGGTGAGAAAGCAACGCTTATGAAACTGGATCAAACTGCTTTAATCAGTGTTTCTCAAACTTGGCAATTTATAGATGTATGGACTTCAACTCCCAGAATTCCCCAGAGGTCCGTCCACCCATCTTAAAGCTGCTAAGCTTGGGAAATATTGGTTTTAATCTAGAGTTGGTGTTCACGGTTACAAAACAGCTCAACTTCCAAATGTCTATGGAGATTCTCAGTCATCCAGGTCATGATTGTCCCAAAGGTGCTTTTTTAACAAGGCCATTGGACGTTGTTTTTCCTTGAACTGAAGAAGCTTTTTGGATGAGAAGCGAAACGTCTTCAAGGAAAAAACAAAGTCCAGTTACCTTTGGAAAAAGCACCTTTGGGATCAATTTCCAAATCTCTTGCTCTTTTCCATGCAGGAGACCAACTTTGCCTTGGCCAATAACACTGAGGTCTAGCATCTTGTTTACTGGTGGAAGCATCGACTTTCCATTTTTTATAGAAGCAAATGCCTGCTAAATTAATGAGGCCACCAAGGGCTGAAAAACAGCTGTGCTGAATCGCCTAAAAAACAACAACCCAATTTAGCCCTGTATTCCTGGAACAAAAACTGCCAGTAGCAGGAAATGATACAAATATGACAAATTAATTTATTATAAGTAGTCCTTGAGTTACAGTCATTTGTTTAGCGACCATTGGAAAGTGAAACAGTGGCTTACTAACTGGTCTTTGCACTTACAATAGCATCCCCACAGTTACGGGATCGCCTTTTGCCATCTTCCCAGCTTCCAACAAGCAAAGTAAGGGAAGCTGGATTCGCTTAACAACTAACCACCATGGCAAAAGTTGTAAAATGAGGCACAACTCATTTAAAAACCACCTTGCTTAGCCACAGAAATGCTGGTCGTAAATCAGAGACTTTCTGAACAAATGAACTGGCAAACTGCAGGCAAAACATGAGCCAGGCTTGTCCTTTTGTGACTTAGCATGCGTTGAATCCCCTCACCAGCCGTTGTAAACCATGGCTTAGAATGGTAGGTGACTCTAACCAATTGTGGCCTATTCTTTGAACCATAGTTAAATATAATCATCATCATCATCATCATCATCATCATCTACCTATCCCAGGTCTTGGGTAAGGACTCAATAGGTAGACAAAATGCCAAATCCAGTCTGAACATCTGGCTGACTGTGCGATGATCCATAATATAGCAACAATGGTGCATTGGAAGACCTGCAAGAAATATCATTTGCCTGTAAACTAGAACTGGTGGGATCATAAAATAGAGAAAGTCATAGAAAATGATAAAGTTAAACTGCTCTGGGACTTCAGAATTCAAACAGACAAGCACCTGCAACATAACACCACGGACTTAACAAATGTCGATAAGAAAGACAAAAAAGTCTGGATAGTGGACATGGCAGCGCCTGGAGACAGCAGAATAGATGAGAAAGAGCTGGAGAAGATAACAAAATACAAAGACCTAAAAATAGAAATAGAAAGACTGTGGCAAAAGCAAGCAAGGGTAGTACCAATAGTAATAGGCGCCTTAGGTGCAATCCCAAAACAACTGGAGCACCACTTGAACACCATCAGCATTGACAAATTCACTATTAGTCAATTGCAAAAGGCAGCCTTACTGGAAACTGCTTCTATCCTGCGACGAGATCTGTGATACCATCAGACATCCACATCTGCCTATCCCAGGTCCTTGGGAAGGACTCGATAGGTAGACAAAAATGCCAAATCCAGTCTAAACATCCGGCTGACTGTGCGATGATCAATAATAATAATAATAATAATAATAATAATAATAATAATAATAATAATAATAATAATAATAATAATAATAATAATAGCAAAAATAGCAGTAGCTGTAATGACCAGGAACCTTCCACAAATTTATCAAATCTTCTTTCCGAGTCAGGTGCTTTTTTGCCATCTTGTGGCAGGGAGTTCCACGGTTCAAATCCACTCCTTGCAAAAAAAATCCCCTTCCTTTCGTCACCTCTAAATCACTCAGAAATCAGGGTGGTCTCCCCAGGTTGATAGGACCACCCCTTTGAGGAAGACCATTTGGTGCCGGTTTGTAGCCGTTTCTTTGCCATGCAGGCGTAGCTGAGCTGCAGGAGCGCACGCTGATTGCGGTGAAGCCAGACGGGGTCCAGAGGAGACTGGTGGGAGACGTCATCAAACGCTTTGAGAAACGGGGATTTAAACTGGTGGGCCTCAAGTTGCTCCAGGTAAGCGCTGGGGGATACCTGAGACCTGTAGATCTGATTCCCCTCACCTGTGCTGGGGGAGGAGACGAGAAATTAGGGGTGCCATTTTCATGACATGACCAACTTTTTTGTTTTGTTTGTTTGTTTCTTGGGGGGGCCCTCATTCGATTAAAGTTTATTATAAAGTAAAATACAAATACAAACAAGAAGAAAGTGAAAAAAGACCGAAGAAAGTGAAAAAAGACCGAAAGAAAAAGTGCAAAAAGGATTTTAAAAACAGAAGTGACTTTCAACTTTTTTCAGTGCAGTAAGTCAAGGACTACCTAGATTGTATATTGAACTTGAACTCCTGATGGAAAAGCAATACCGTACATCAATCAGATCAGTCATCCAGACAGGGTTTGAATTTGCAAAACAAGCCACTTTGTGTGTCCAACTGTGGCTCAGTTAACCTTGGGAACCACACTGTACAAACTGGATTGGCTTTCTGCAGAGGCACCTCAGGACTGAACCAAGAAAACAGGTCCTCATTTCTGGACCGAATGCAGCCCGTCTGCTCCGGTAAAGGAAGCGTGAGTAGGGTTCCCGCCGCTGCTTCACTAGGGATGTTCCTTCGCTTGCAGGCCTCCGAAGGGATCCTGACTGAACATTACCACGAGCTGCGCCGGAAGCCATTTTACCACGAGCTGCTTCAGTACATGACCTCTGGGCCCGTCGTTGCCATGGTAAAATGATTTTCTATACTGGTCCTGTTGTTTTTCTACATTGGAGAAGGTTAGAATGTCCAGTTTCATTTCAGGAGTAAAATAAGTCTCTCTCTCTCTCTCTCTCTCTCCCCCCTTCCCCCACCTCTCTCTCACACACAAACACACACTAAGAACAATAGATAGTTGAATGGATGGATGATAGAGACACCTGGTTAGAGGATAGATGATAAATAGATGAGCTAGATAGATGTGATATATATAAATAGATGAGATAGCTAGAGATGAGATAGAAATAGATTGATTGATCGATAGATGAGATAGATCAATAAATGAGATTGATAGACAGACAGCACTGCATTCTCTCTCTATATATATCTATTTCTATACACAGTATATATCTATATATCTCTATATACATATATCTCTATTTCTCTCTCTCTATTTCTCTCTCTCTCTCTCTCTCTCTCTCCTTCCCCCCCTCTCTCTCACACACAAACACACACCAAGAACAATAGATAGTTGAAGGGATGGATGGTAGAGACACCTGGATAGAGGATAGATGATAAATAGATGAGGTAGATAGATGTGATAGATATAAATAGATGAGATAGCTAGAGATGAGATAGAAATAGATTGATTGATCGATAGATGAGATAGATTAATAAATGAGATTGATAGACAGACAGCACTGCATTCTCTCTATCTCTATCTCTATCTCTATTTCTATATACAGTATATATCTCTATATCTCTATATACATCTCTCTCTCTCTCTCTCTCTCTCTCTCTCTCTCTCTCTCTCTCTCTCTCTCTCTCTCTCTCTCTCCTTCCCCCCCTCTCTCTCACACACAAACACACACCAAGAACAATAGATAGTTGAATGGATGGATGATAGAGACACCTGGTTAGAGGATAGATGATAGATGAGCTAGATAGATATGATAGATGAGATTGATAGACAGACAGCACTGCATTCTCTCTATATATCTCTATCTTTATCTCTATTTCTATATACAGTATCTCTCTCTGTCTGTCTGTCTGTCTGTCTGTCTGTCTATGAGATCTAGAGATCTAAAGTGGTGTCTGTTTCCAGCTATTACATTCTCACAACCAGATGTTCTCATACACTGGGCAAATGGAATTGAGTAGATTTTGGCTCAGTGTACAGTGGAAACAGGCCCCTTGTCTTAGCACTACAGGATCATCGTCTTATGCTATCATGTGGATTATTTTACCCACACATGTTATATGAATTCAGCCGTTGTCAACCTTGGTTTGCCTGTTGTGTGAATCCAGGCAGAGCAGAGTCTATTGGAGTGGATGATGGTAATAAAGTTAAGGAAGGAACTAGAGCCATAAACAAAATAGAAAGGTGCCGTTTCTTCAGCTTAAATTCAACCCAGCTGTGCTGTTTATCTTTCTGGTTTTTGTCGAATTACACTGCTGTGTCTTTTTTCCCCTCCTGTACCCTGTAGGTGTGGGAAGGGTACAATGTGGTCAAGACTTCCAGAGCCATGGTGGGAGAGACCAACCCAGCTGAAGCCAAGCCAGGAACTGTCCGAGGTGACTTTAGCATCCACGTTAGCAGGTACAAGAAAAAATGGGTGCTGAATCTGATTGGGGACTTCTGGGTTCAAATAAGAGCCAGTTTGGTGGTGTGATTAAGGCACCAAGCTAGAAACTGGGTGACTCTGAGTTCTAGTCCCACATTAGGCAGAAAAGCCAGCTGGGTGACCTTGGGCCAATCACCAGGAGATGGTGAGTTCTAGTGCTGCCTTAGGCATAAAAGCCGGCGGGCTGACCTTGAGCCAGTCACTCCCTCTCAGCCCTAAGAAGCAGACAGTGGCAAACCACTTCTGAAAAACCTTGCCAAGAAAACTTCATGGATTTGTCCAGGTAGGATTCTTGGCGCCCCATCCAAGTTCTGACCTGGTCCCATCCTTCTTAGCTTTTGGACTAAGACATGGTGACGCCCTCCCCAAACTGAATGTTTCATGGCCCTTTTTTTTCTTACAAACAGGAACGTCGTCCATGCCAGCGACTCGGTGGAGACGGCGCAGAGAGAAATAAGTCTTTGGTTTTGCAGCAACGAGCTGATCAACTGGGACTGTTGTGATCACAAGGTCATGTATGAACCATGATGTGGCTCTCCCCCATTTCCGGACATGGGATCTACTACCTCGGCTCAATTGTTGCCTTTGTGGAGGATCGGGTGTTTTCAGCCTGTGCATCACAGGTTTATATCTTGGTGGTGTTGAGAGGAGGCGAGTCGCGTTGCCAAGACATTGCTCAAGGCAGGAGACTGTGCCAGGCTTCTCCCAATGCCCAATTTGCCCACTCTCCAGGACCGTGCTGTTATTTTGGCTGGAATATTCATTAAAAAGAAGTCGATTTTATTTGGGGGGTATTTCTAACATGGTGTTGAGAAGGTCTCATTTTGTCTTCACCTGTAGCCTGCTGATGTTGCAACACTACAGTACACACCCCCACAAACAAAATATTTCATTTCCTCTGCAACCATTGTGAGTGGATGGAAGGTCCATCTCGACTTATCTAGAAAGTTTTTCCTTAATTCTTATTGACCCTCTCTCTAGGACAGTGGTCTTGGGAGAGGGGCATGTACTTCAGGGATGTCTATTGAGATGCAGGAAGCAAATTTTTGAATGGCTGCTTTTTATTTAAAGTTTATGCAAAGTTTTCCTTCCTTCCTTCCTTCCTTCCTTCCTTCCTTCCTTCCTTCCTTCCTTCCTTCCTTCCTTCCTTCCTTCCTTCCTTCAGTCATTCCCTCTCTCTTCCTCTCCCTCCCTCCCTCCCTCCCTCCCTCTTTCCTTTCTTTCTTTCTTTCTTTCTTTCTTTCTTTCTTTCTTTCTTTCTTTCTTTCTTTCTTTCTTTCTTTCTTTCTTTTTTTTTTTTTTTTTTCTCTCTCTCTCTCTCTCTCTCTCTCTCTCTCTCTCTCTCTCTCTCTCTCTCTCTCTCTCTCTCTCTCTCTCTCTCTCTCTCTCTCTCTCTTTCCCCCCCGCTCTTTCTGAGCAGAGCACAATTCTATTATTCTCCGAATTAGATTTAGTGAAGGTTTGTTTTGCTTTGAATCAGACTTTTTCTGCTTATCTGTTTCTGCTGGAAACAGATTTAGCAGCCTCTCTTTTCCATGGTTAGTCAGTTTCATGATCAGTTTCCCTAAAATCTGGTCTAGTCAAGTTTCAGAATCTCTTGGATGGTTTTTCAAAGTTGATACAAAATTCCAAGCTTCATTTCCCCCCCAGTCTGTATAAGGACCATAGATCTTCTGCAGTATTCTCCCACCACCTGGTATTATAGCATTAAAATTTACCATATCTAGAAGGAACAGTTTGGCCTAGCGCAGGGGTAGGCAACCTTGGCTCTCTTATGATTCATGGATTTCAACTCCCAGAATTCCTGAGCCAGCATGGCTCAGCTTGGAAACCTCTCCCTTTCCCCTCAACATGGCTGGCTCAGGAATTCTGGGAGTTGAAGTCCACGAGTCATAAAAGAGCCAAAGTTGCCTACCCCTGGTCTAGCGGTTACGATACCAGGCTAGAAACCAGGAGACAGTGAGTTCTAGTCCCGCTTAGAGATGAAAGTTCCACCTTAAACATGAAAGCTGGCTGGGTATTTTGGGCGAGTCCTTTTCTCTCAGCCCAATCCACCTCACTGGGTTGTTGTTGTGGGGAAAACAGGAATAGGAAGGAGTTAGATATTAGATTTCGTCGCCATCTTGAGTAACTTATAAAGTAATAGGTAGGATTAAAAACATCTTCTAAATAAAAACAAACTAAAAAACAGAAGACCCAGTTGTCTAAACTCATTAAAGCAATGCAAATAAGAGAGAAAATTACAGTGTTACACTGACAGAATGAGTTCATGCAGATTCACCTCGAAGTCTGACCCACGCCTTGGATTTTAGATACTGTAAACAATCAAACAAAAGTGTTATATTGCCGTCTTCAGCTTGAGTCACAAGGGACAAAAGTCACCTTCCAGAAGACCGCCTCCATTCCAAAAAGGTTTACTTTACACAGGGCAAGAAGAACCCAACCCATGTCAGTGCCTCCAGAGGTTAGAAATTATGGACCATGCTAGTTTACTTTAGCTTCCTCACAGGAAAGGAGAATGGGGTAAGGTCTCCATTTTCCAAAGCTGGTGCAGACATTTTGCATTGGTCAGGCTCATCCTCCTTGTCCTACTGGAGAAAAATTAAAAACGGAAGGAAGCCCTTTAAAAAAAAAAAGGGTTGAGATGAAAACTTGCATCCCATGATATTCATATACTAACTAGAGGGTCACATGAAAACCACTAAGGAGAAAACAGACAACTTTCAGAGCTGGTAACAAACGGCCAATTTGCAATTGTGAGAGACCGTCCGGGTGAAGGAGACTGTTTTGAACCAACACACACAAAACCTATGTCAAAGCAAGACACATGACAACCTACACGTGTCCTGAAGAAAGAAATCCCACTAAATGCCCCTTCTAAAATGTTTTGTAAGATGAAACCAACTTCTTCTGCCACAGGGCAGAAGACCTTAAGACTTTTCTACAAAATTATCATTGTTCATCTTTGTCAGGGCTCTCCAAACTTGGCAACTTTTAAGACCTGTGGACTTCAACTCCCAGAATTCCCCAGCCAGCCATTTTTGTCTGATGGTTTATGGTACCTAACATCCAATGCATGGGCCAGGCTTTGAAGTGAATGCTGGCTGGGTAATTCTGGGAGTTGAAGTCCACAGGTCTTAAAGTTGCTAAGTTTGGAGACTCCTGATTTTTGTCTTGAGGTCAGGACCCTCTGGTCATCCTTTAGCCAGCAGAGGGACTTTGGAGGTTTGGAGAAGTGAGGATGTGGTCACAGAGCCTGAACTGACCACCAGACACCCCTCCGATTCTCCCACTGAAGACCACCTCCACCAGCAATATCTTCAGCAAAGTGTGGTAGATTTCACACACCAAAACAGCTGCAGTCTCTTCTGGATTTAAGAGGGGGAAAAACATCACCCACACAACTAAGGATGGTGTAAAGCTGCTTCTTGGATACATTGGGGATAAGATTTGAGTTAAACATAATAATAATAATAATAATAATAATAATAATAATAATAATAATAATAATAATAATAATAATAATAATAATAATAATAATAATAATAGTAAAGTTGGAAGGGACCTTGGAGGTCATCGAGTCCAACCCCCTGCTCAGGCAGGTAACCCTATACCATTTCAGACAAACGGCTGTCCAGTCTCTTCTTAAAAACTTCCAGTGTTGGAGCATTCACCGCTTCTGGAGGCAGGTTGTTCCACTGGTTAATTGTTCTAACTGTCAGCAAGTTTCTCCTTAGTTCTAGGTTGCTTCTCTCCTTGCTTAGTTTCCATCCGTTGCTTCTTGTCCTGCTTTCAGGCACCTTGGAAAATAGCTTGACTGCCTCTTCTTTATGGCAGCCCCTGAGATATTGGAACAATATCTCAATAATAAATAATGTTTATTATATTATTATTATTAAATAATAAATCTAACATCTAATAAAATGATAAATTTAATAATTAAAAATATTTTAAAAGGTGGGATTAAAAAGCAAATAATAAATACACAAGTTTACGGCCACACTACAGGGACAAGGTAGAAAGAAAGAGATTACCGAGTGGGTGTGTTTGTCCTATCCTTAGATGGAGATTCTGCGTAGAATCAAGATCAAATGTTTGCTTATTTCAGCAACTCCCTGTTTCGAAAGCTTGTTTTAGATGTCCTCATTTTCACCCCGTTTGCATCTGAACTTTGTCTTGCAAAACTTTCCTCTTTCTGCTTCTAGTTCTTTAAATATATAAGTGGTGATACATTATTGAAATAATGCAAGATCCTGTGTTTTTTTAAGAATGCGCCAACACTGGAAGTTTTTAAGAAGAAACTGGACAGCCATTTGTCTGAAATGGTATAGGGTTTCCTGCCTGAGCAGAGGGTTGAACTAGATGACCTCCAAGGTCCCTTCCAACTTTATCATTATTATTATTATTATTATTACATGAATATCCAATGTTAATAAAAATAATGACTATCTATTGTTAATCTGTGTGCAAAACCTCAGATCCTTATTTGCCGATTAGATGATATTGTTATAATATTGAAAAAAATGCTTAAATTTGATATGGATACAATCGCAAACCACTTGCACTTTCCTCTTCCTCCAAATCTTGTTTTTAATGATAATAATGATAAAGTTGGAAGGTACCTTGGAGGTCATCTAGTCCAACCCCCTGCTTAGGCAGGAAACCCAATACCATTTCGGACAAATGGCTGTCCAGTCTCTTCTTAAAAACTTCCAGTGTTGGTGCATTCACCGCTTCTGGAGGCAGGTTGTTCCACTGGTTAATTGTTCTAACTTCTTCTCTTCCTGAAGGTTTTGTAACTCTCCAAATCATAGTTGTAAGTGGGATTTCCTGGCAACTGAAAAATGCATGGCAAGAGGATCTTGGTTCCACCTCCTCCTCCATACATAAAGCTCAAGCTATGTTGGAAAACCAGGAGCAGAGCATCCCTCTGGCCACACCAAGGTCTCCAGATGATCAAGGACACAAGTGAAGAGATCAACAATGCCCCAAATGTGCTTTTTCCAAAAGGCAAAAGGACTTTCTTGGTTTTTTCCCCCCCTCTTGAAAACATTTCACTTCTCATTTAAGAAGCTTTTTCAGTTCTAACGGAACTGAATCCAAGGGAGTCCAGTTGCCTTTTGGAAAAGCACCTTTGGGACAGCCCTGACCTGGATGATGGAGAACCTCCATAGAAAAGAGATCAGCATTTTTTCTCATTTTGCAAACACCAGCCTAGAAAACCGAACGCAGCCCGTTGTGTAATAAAGAAGACTCCCACACTCTCATGAATATTCCTTTTTTTTTTTTTTTAAATTAGGTCTAATGAAGAAATTGCCCAATAGGATTCTAAGCGAAGCATCTCTTTGCCAACAAGGACCAACCTTAGGATGTCCCATTGAGCCGAGCGCCACCTAGTCTTTTAAACGAGGAACTACCATTCCCGGCATGCTTCGGGGTTCAGCTCAGCGCGCAGGCGCACCGGAGAGAAACGCAAGCAGCTGTTTCAACGAGAGGTGAGTTGGAAGGGGCAGAATTGTTGGGGGGCGGGAATACCGAGGAGGAGGAATTGAGGAGGGGGGCAAAGCACCCCCAATTGCACCCTTCTGCAACCCCCCTGTGCGCCGGGGCTGCAAATCCCGCTGTCTGTTGCAACCGCGGGCGGGGATAAGGGGCATTGTAGTCCCGGCTCATTTGGCTCGGGGGAAGGCTGTCGCTCGAAGCAAGCGCTCGCGATTCTCGGGGAGGGGACACCCCCCCTCCATTTCCCGGTCTCCCCAGTGCATGTGGGGTGTCAGCCCAGGAGCCTCGGGAGGGCAGGAACGGGGTTCAGAAAAGCTTTTGCAACCTGGCGCCCTCCGGTAATGGGGAACCGAACTCCCGCCCACTCAGTCATTTCCAGCCAGCTGCGCGAGGTGGGGAGGGCGGGGGCTTTAATCCTAGCCGAGGGAGGGGCAAGGCTGTCCTCCCCCCGGAAAAACCAATTTGGGGTGTGTGTGCAAAAATGCATCTAATTCTCTCCTTCAGTTCAATGCCTGGGTAGATCCTTCTCCATTCCTTCCTTCTCTGTGGCTCCAACATTCCTGTTCCAAAGGTGCTTTTTTCTTTTTTCTTTTTGGACTTTCTGGTTTTTCTTTGAAGACGTTCTTTGAAGCCAAACGTCTTGAAAGAAAAAACCAGAAAGTCCAGTTGCCTCTTGAAAAAGCACCTTTGGGACAACTATGACCTAGAGCAGGGCTTTTCAACCTTTTCACCCATTGCACCACTTTTAGGATATGGCAATATCCGAGGACCACCAGTCGCCTAGCAAGGTGTCAAAAACTTGACCCCCCCCACCAAAAAAGGAAAAAAGTGATGAAGTACAGGTAGTCCTTGACTTACAACAGTTCGCTTAGTGACTGTTCGAAGTTACAACGGCACTGAAAAAAGTGCCCCCCGAGTCACAGCCAAGCAAGACACCTGCCTGCCCGCCCGGCGGCGCTCTTCCTCCTGTCTGAGGTTTTCATTGTTGTGAGCATTTCTGTTGAGGATTGGCAGCAGGAATGGGGTGGGGGGGTGTTTGGTTTTTATTCTCCCCCCCCCCCCCGTCTGCTGGGTGGTTGCAGCAGGTTTTGGTCACTTCACATGACCCTGGGACACTGTGACCGTCATAAATATGAATCAGTTGCCAAGCATCTGAATGTAAATCACAAGGCCCTGGAGATGCTGCAACATTCCAGCTGATCGGCGCTTCTTCTGGGCTCAGCAGAAGCACCAGGATCAGCGCTGAGCTCCAGCTGGGGCCTGGCGCTGATCCTGGCGCTTCCGCTGAGCCCTGACAGCCCTGCAGCTCCAGCCGTCTCTCGCTCAGGCTTGTGCGGTGCTGCCACCGGTTCAGCTCATTCCCCTCCCCCACTATCACTTTTCTAGGATGGTCGCGTACCACCTACCAGGTGCCAATGTACCACAGGTGGTACCCGTACCACTGGTTGAAAAGCCCTGACCTGGAGGACTGAAAATCTCCATAGACCAGGGATGGCGAACCTTTTAGAGACCGAGTGCCCAAACTGCAACCCAAAACCCACTTATGCATCGCCGGGTGCCGGGCGGGCGTGGCCCATTGGGTGGGTGTGGCTGCGGTGGTAATGGCAGACTGGGTGGGACTAAAAAGTTCAATCAATCAATTCCAACTTTGCGAGATCTTTTTTTCCCCCGCAAGAAGTTGAAATTGATTGAACCTTTTTTTTTTTGGCACACGGCGGCGGAGGCCTAAAGCGAAAAGATTTTATAAAATCCAGATGAAGGCCTAGGACTGGGGCGATGGCGCTCGTGCCCACAGAGAGGGCTCTGCGTGCCACCTGTGGCACGCGTGCCATAGGTTCGCCACCACGGCCATAGACAGTCCCAACATTCCGATTGCTGCAAGCCGCAAAAATAAGCTTTACCCCAGCACTGTTTTTCAGAGAGATGGAATTCGGGGACCCTTTCCCCCTAAGAATTCCCCTTTCTGAAGCTGCCCCACACATTTCCCCAAAGGTTGATGGCCTAAAAAAAAAGGGGGAGGGAGGAGAAACCTAAGTTTTAAAAAGAACTTTGTAAAACTTTTTTTTAAATGTTCAAGCAGCAGCATCTGCTTAAAACTTGTTTGGGTGAAAGGTGAGGATTGCAATCTGCGTTGCTCACTGCAGGGGTTGGTGTTTGAATTGTGGAAGAAAAAGAGACGAGAGACAGCAGGCACAAGTTAGAGTTTCTCCCCTTTTCTGCCTTTTAGCCAAACCAGTTAGGTATTGCAATAGCTGATCTCTGGAGCAGAATTTATCTGCCATCTTTCTTCCTTGGAAACAAGGCTGATGTATTGTGAATATGAACTTAAGGGGCTGTGAAGTTGGAACTTCTTTACTTTGTAGCTGTTTCTGTTAGTTTCCTCAATAGCTGCTCAGAGTCGCCTCAAAGCGGGAGATGGGTGGCAAATAAATTTAATAATAGTATCTGGAGCATCATTTGAACCCCACTGGCATTGACAAATTCATCAGTCAATTGCAAAAGGCAGCTTTACTCAGAACAGCTTAAATCCTACAACCATATCTCTAATACCATCAAACATCAACATCTGCCCAGGCTCTTGGGAAGCACTTTCTAGGTCAGAGGTCCCAAACTTTTTGGGCACCAGGGACCAGTTCAGTGGAGAGAGGTTTTTCCGCGGAGTGGAGAGTGCATGGTTTTGTGTGCTGCCTGCATCCCACGAATGCGCTTTGCTTGTTTGTGTGGACCAGTTGCTGGCATGCCATGGCCCGGTACCGGTCCACAGACCGGGGGTTGGGGACCCCTGTTCTAGGTGGATAAAAACGCCAAATCCAGTCTGAACATCTGGCTGCGTTTATGACAAACCATAGTAATATTGTGGGTTTTCTCCCCATTTCAGGATCAGTTGTGACTCTGTAGAACAAGCTAGCTAGCCATGGCTCATCTAGGCTTTGCTTGTGAACCTCCTCCTGATGTGGATACAGACGACTGTCTTCCGGAATATTCATATATGTTCACGCCTGACATCCTCAAGTAAGTATCCCCAAGGTGCTAGGTCTCTTTAAGGTTCCAATGAACCTGGTTGTGTGGAACCGCCTTAGCCATGAAACCAACTGGGTGAACTTTTGGCCAGTCCCTCTCTCTCTCTCTCTCACGCCAGACTACTTTACAGGGGGGTTGTTCTGGGGAAAGCAGGCAGCAATATTAGGTATGTCTCTCCCCTTGAGATATATAAAAAAGGATGCAATACAAATATAACAACAACAACAATAATAATGCTGCCTCCAAGCCATTCCTGTCCAGTTTTGCCATCTTTTCATGTTTTTACTTTCTAGGTTTTATTTAAGAAGTTTTATTAGTCTGGGTCACTAACCTGTAATCATCTTCTTCTCTATATAAATAAAAATGTAAATGTTCGTTTGTTCAAAATCTTAAATCTCTGAAAGTTCTTCACCGATTGCTTTGAAATTTTGACACAACGTTGCATTCGAATACGCACGTGTTTTTATATACCTATATTATATAGATGTCACACCTGTGACAGGTAAAAACATGCTTTTTTTGAAAAACAGCGCCATCTGTTGGATATAAAAGCAACACACGCCAGACTGAGCCACAGCAACGCATGGCCGGGTACAGCTAGTAAAGAATATGATTCAATTTCCTTTTTTTTTTAAACTCTAATTTTGTAAATTCTGGAATTTCTTTTCCAGAGTTTAATGCTTTTTCACTTGTTTTTGGGTGTTGGGCGGTAAACAAATAAGTATATAAGTAAGCAAACTGTGTTGGTAGCTCCTGATTCCAGATGTCTCTCCTCCTGATTTTTCTAGAGGAAAAGTGGCTCTCATCACGGGCGGAGGCTCCGGGATTGGATTCCATATCACTGAGATCCTGATGAGGTATGGATAGCAGATCTCTGGCAGAATCTTCAGCTAAGACTCTGCCGTCTTCATTTGATCTTCGCAAAAGGTTCTGGAATAATTTTTATCTTCTCCATTTCCACGATCAAATGGTTGTCCAGTCCATTTCTGAAAAGCTCCAGGGATGGAGCACCCACAACTCCAGGAGGCAAACGGTTTCATGATTAATTGTTCTCAGGAAACTTCTCCTTAGTTATTCTAAGTTGGAGCTCTCCTCCATAAGCTTCCATTGGTTGTCCTGCCTACAGGTGCTTTGGAGAATAGGTTGACTCCCTATTCTTTGGGGCAGCCCCTCAAATATTGGAACATGGCTATCATATATTCCCTCTTTTTAATAATAATAATAATAATAATAATAATAATAATAATAATAATAATAATATAGCAACCCGTGTCAACCATCGGCGCCAGCCAATTTGAATGTTCAGTTGACTGAGATTCATGTCTAATGAATAAAAAATAATATAATCATCATCATCATCATCATCATCATCATCATCATCATCCTTAGTAAGGACTCGATAGGTAGACAAAAATGCCAAATCCAGTCTGAAGATCTGGCTGACTGTGCAATGATCAATAATAATAATAAAAGTTGGATGGGACCTTGGAGGTCATCTAGTCCAAGCCCCTGCTCAGGTAGGAAATCCTATACCAGTGGTGGCGAACCTATGGCACGGGTGCCAGAGGCGGCACTCAGAGCCCTCTCTGTGGGCACGCGTGCTGTCGACCCAGTCCTAGGCCTTTAGCTGGGTTTTATAAAACCTTTTCGCTTTAGGCCTCTGCCACCATGTGCAAAAAAAAAAAAAAGGTTCAATCAGTCAATTTCAACTTCTCGTGGGAAAAAGAAAGATCTTGCAAAGTTGGAATTGATTGATTGAACTTTTTAGTCCCACCCAGTCTGTCCTTACCACTACAGCCACGTCCACCCAATGGGCACGCCTACCCAATGGGCCACACCCAGCCAATGGGCACACCCACCCAATGGGCCACATTCACCCGGCACTCGACGACGCATAAGTGGGTTTTGGGTTGCAGTTTGGGCACTTGGTCTCTAAAAGGTTCACCATCACTGTCCTATACCATTTCAGACAAATGGCTGTCCAGTCTCTTCTTAAAAACTTCCAGTGTTGGAGCATTCACAGCTTCTGGAAGCAAAAGTTGTTCCACTGATTATTTGTTCTAACTGTCAAGAAATTTCTCCTTAGTTCTAGGTTGCTTCTCTCCTTGATTAGTTTCCATCCGTTGCTTCTTCTCCTGCCTTCAGGCGCTTTGGAGAATAGCTTGACTCCCTCTTCTTTGGGGCAGCCCCTGAGATACTGGAAGACTGCTATCATGTCCCCCCTCGTCCTTGTTTTAGCCTTCATTGTATGTTTTAGGCTCCAGGCCTTTAATTCTCTTTGTGGCTCTTCTCTGCACTCTTTCCAGAGTCTCAACATCTTTTTTATATTGTGGCAACCAAAAACTGGATGCCGTGTTCCAAGTGCAGCCTCATTAGTGCAGTTGCCCAGATATTTGCTTTTGCATTTCTTAAACCCTCGCACTTTTAAGTAAAAAGAAATAAGTTAGCTCCTGGTCTGCTTTTGCATTTATTGGCTTCTCTGTCTGATCTTGGGAAATTTTCCTGCAGGCACGGTTGCCAGTGTGTCATTGCCAGCAGAAATCTCCAGCGGGTGTCAGAGGTGAGTGGCTGCTAGATCCTTGTATTTTTACTATCCCATTTGGGATATTAGTAGCATCTCAGTGAAACAAGGAGGACGCTCATTTTTGTGGTCTTCCAAAGATTCAGGAACTTGGCGTGCCAGGCTGAGGAATTCTGGGAGTTGGAAGTCCACAAGTCATAAAAGGGCCAAGTTTGAAGACCCCTGCTTTAGAGGCTGGTTCTGATTGGGTCATCAGCCCAGAATGTAGATCACTGTTTCTCCAACTTGACAACTCTTAAGATATGTGAACTTCAACTCCCAAAATGCTGGCTGAGGAATTCTGGGAGTTGAAGTCCACACATCTTAAAGGGGCTGAGTTTAGGAATGCTGACTTAGATTGGGTTGTGGCTGGGTTAATGTTTAATAACCGTCATGTTATTTATATTGTATGGAACTGCTATTGTTGCATGGGTGTATACTGCTGAAAAACCTTTTTAGAATGATAGCTCATTCTATCCCTTTTCTTAGTAGCTAAAATACAGAAAGAAAAGATTGCCAGTTGGGAGATGAATTGAGCTGATCAGTGCAAGCATAGCTTTAATTTTCTTAAATAAGGGTTTATGGGGAAAATTAAGTTTCTGGTTGATCCTATGATACATATGGAAAATCAATGGTCTTCTCTGTGTTATCAGTCTTCTAGCTTGATTAATGGGGAAGGATTCTGGAAGTCATAGATATTGTAGGAGGAGAATCATGTTAACTGAAATTTTCCACATATTTTTTCAAGCAAAAAAAAATCAGTGGGGTGTACAAGTAGGCCTCCCTTAGCAACTCCCTCATTTAGTGACCGTTTGAAGTTGCATCGGTGATGAAAAAGTAACTTTATGACTAATCCTTCCATTCCCAGCCTTTGCAAGACTGTCAAGCAAATGAAAGCTGAAATAAGTTCGTATGCACAGTCACAGCGTTGCTTAGTCACCACTTTGCTTAATGCCCAAGTTGCCAGTCGCCATTGTGGTCACTAAATGAGAACTAGCTGCACTTACTTTCCCATGTGACTGTAGAGATGACTGTTTGGTTTTGGTTTCGTACGGTTGCATCAACCCAATAAAGAATGTAAGCCTGCGTTAATTGCAGAATTAGATGCCCACTCAGTGGTGGATTTATGCAGTCAGAATTGGCTAAGCATGGAATGCTAACTCGGCCAATAATGTCTCTGAAAAATAGGAAATGTTTCTTCCCACCCCAGTGCTGATCTTAAGGGCCAGTTTGCTATTTTGAGACATGATCCTTGTTTTCTCCAGGCGTCCCCTACCCAGGCAGCTGTCTGATCCCCTAAAATCTTTATTTCCCATGATAGGCAGCCAAGAAACTCTGTGCAGCCACAGGCCAGCGATGCCTGCCCGTCACTCTTGATGTGCGGCAACCTCAGACCATTTCGGCAGCTGTGGATGAGGCCCTCCAAGAATTTGAGAAGATTGACATCCTAGTTAACGGTGAGGGTTTGATCCTCTTGGTGGTTGGAAGTTCTCTCCATCTGCAAGCTTCAGACCGGGAATGAGAAGGGTGATCTTGTTGGATGCTGGAAGGTGTTGTAGTTGAACTCATAAATGGCCAAGCGTGCTGCTTCACAACACATCATCCACATCCCCTTTCCCCCCACAGCCTCCCAATCTCACAGAATCAAGAACATTTGGATTTTGTGTTAGCGATTGAGTAGGGTTGATATCCACCTCAGTCCAACGTCTCTTTGAGTCCTCCAGAGTGATGTTTCTCAGCCTTGACCACTTGAAGATGCATGGACTTCAACTCCCAGAATCTCACTTGGCTGGGGAATTCTGGGAGCTGAAGTCCACCCATCTTCAAGTGGTCAAGGTTGAGAAGCACTGTTTTAGAGCATGTCATCTGACAAGGCAAACGTTATGCCGATATTTGGTTAAACCCAACATTGGTAGCAAATCTCCCTGGCCATTAGACAACAGTTGCATCTAGCTTAATTCCAAACATGGGCTCCCTCCCTCCAAGGATCCAACACATTCGATTAATGGGTGTGTTTTATCAGGAGATCATGGCGTGCAACAGCTTCCGTGGTGGTCCTTTCCATACAGGGAGAAGATACGAATTCAAGTCTAAGGTTGCAACCCAATGAGTCACACTTTCTGTCTTGTTCCTTTTTCTACGGTCTTGTTCCTCAGGTGCTGCTGGGAACTTTCTTTGTCCCGCTAGCTCTTTATCGTTCAACGGTTACAAAACGGTGATTGAAATTGACACCTTGGGCACCTTCAACGTCTCCAAAGTCCTGTATGAAAAATCCCTTCGGGTAAGAGTCTAATAATAATAATAATAATAATAACAACAACAACAACAACAACGTGGATGTGTCTGGAGACAGCAGAATAGACGAGAAAGAACTGGAGAAGATCACAAAATACAAAGACCTACAAATAGAAATAGAAAGACTGTGGCAAAGGCAAGCAAGGGTAGTACCAATAGTAATAGGAGCCTTGGGTGCAATCCCAAAACAACTGGAGCACCACTTAAACACCATTGGCATTGACGAATTCGCCATTAGTCAATTGCAAAAGGCGGCCTTACTAGGAACTGCTTCCATCCTGCGACGATATCTGTGATACCATCAAACATCCATATCTGCCTATCCCAGGTCCTTGGGAAGGACTCGATAGGTAGACAAAAATGCCAAATCCAGTCTGAACATCTGGCTGACTGTGCAATGATCAATAATAATAATAATAATAATAATAATAATAATAATGATGATGATAATAATGATAATATTGATTGTACTAGTAGTCCTTGACGTGCAACCGTTCATTAGTGACCGTTACAGCAGCACTGAGAAAAGTGACTTATGAGCAGTTTTCACACTTAACGACGGTTGCAGCCTCCCCATGGTCCCATGGTCGAAATTCAGCCGCTTGGCAACTGACTCACATTTATGACGGTTGCAGCGTCCTGGGGTCACGTGATCCCCTTTTGCGACCTTCTGACAAGCAAAGTCAATGTGGGAAGCCGGATTCGCTTAATGACCGCAGGGATTCGTTTTAAGAGCTGTGGCCAAAAAAAAAAAAAAAAGGTTGTAAATGGGGCACAACTCACAACTTAGCCATGGAAATTTTGGGCTTTTTCTTGTGGTCGTAAGTCGAGGAGTAGGGTTTCTTCCCTTCTTGATTCCCAGTCTTCTGTCTTAATCAGAGGGCTGATTGACTGCACTGTTTTCTTCCAAGGCCAGGGGTCTTCTAAATCTTCAGCTCGTCGACCCCTTCATAATGTTTCAAATTGTTCATCAAACATTTGAAAATAATTTAACAGATAGTTTAATACTTTAACTACTCCTACTATTAATAATAATAATGCAGGCAGTCATCGACTTAACAACTGCAATTGGGATGAGAATTTCTGTCGCTAAGCAAGGTGGTTAAGTCATTCATACCTGAATTTATGACCTTTTTGGTCATGGTTAAATGAATCACTGCAGCCATGGCGCCATCTTGATGGGTTTTTTTTATTCTCTGTGGACACTCCTGACTGGACATTTCACACTGGGGGAGGTGAGGCTTCAGCCAGCCATTTGCCATTCTTTATTTCTTACTTGGCACAAGTGGTGGCTGTGGACTCTCTTGAAGTTGACCTCAACCTTGCTGCTTGCTTTATTGACTTAGGAACATGGCGGCGTCATTGTCAACATCACAGCCACCCTCAGCTACAAAGGCCTGGCTCTCCAGATGCATGCTGGGACTGCCAAGGCAGCCATAGGTACGAGGTTGAAGCATTCTGTCTCTCTTGTTCTTCTTCTCCTCACTAGTAGCTCCGTCCAAGGTTGTGAGCTTCAGTCCTCTCCTCGCTGAGGATGATGGGTTCTCAGGAAGAAATATTATGGCCATTGTCTCCAGTAGATCTAGCCCAGGGGTAGGCAACCTTGGCTCTTTTATGACTCGTGGACTTCAACTCCCAGAATTCCTGAGCCAGCCATGCTGAGGGGAAAGAGAGAGGTTTCTAAGCTGAGCCATGCTAGCTCAGGAATTCTGGGAATTGAAGTCCATGAGTCATAAAAGAGCCAAGGTTGCCTACCCCTGATCTAGGTGTATCGGTACAAACCCCCTTTGACCACTAACTCCAATCTAGCTGAGATTTTGGGGAATCGGACAAGACATCCTCTTAGTTTTGAGTACATTTTTGGATGATAGACTTACATTTCATGGGCTTTTCTTTAACTTTTTGTAAAGCCATGTGCAGGAAGCAGCAATGGGTTGCTTATCTCTTCTGCACAGCGATCTTTGAGAGAATCCATGATTAATAACTCCAGGGCTTCTCCAGGAAAGCTGCTGCCAAATTGGAAAATTGAAAAGTACAGGGAAGGTTTGAAATGTTAATTAAATCAAGTTAACTCTTCCTTCTGACCTTGTCCCCCTTAGAAGGGTAGACACCCAAGGCCCAAGAATATACGTTTCTGTTCTTGATGGGACCAAGGCTGTGTATCTCCAAATTATTTCATGAGCCCTATTCTCTTCCTCTTTCAAAAAAAGGAGTTTTAATCCTGAAGTAGACTTCTTGGAACTTCTTGGAAGTTCTAATTTTGGGCTTTTCTGTCTTTTCACAGAGGCTATGACGAAGCATCTTGCTGTGGAATGGGGACCTCAACGAATTAGAGTGGTTAGCATCGCCCCTGGTCCCATTGCGGGCACAGAGGGGTACCGTCGTTTAGGTAAGTCTTCTGAATTGAGAACAGCTTGTAACTTCTAAGAAAGCTTCTGAGATAGCTTCTATGACTTGTGGACTTTGACTCCCAGAATTCCTCAGCCAGCATGGGGGAAACTTTGGCCCCTTCATGATTGGTGGACTTCAACTCCCAGAATTCCTGAGCCAGCATGGCTCAGCTTGGAAACCTCTCTTTCCCCTCAGCATGGGTGGCTCAGGAATTCTGGGAGTTGAAGTCCCGAGTCATAAAAGAGCCAAGGTTGCCTACCCCTGTTCTAAGATAACAGGTAAGTCTTCTGAAAGAGCAACTCTCGAAAGAGATGAATGCAGAGAAAGTGTGCAATAAAAATTATTCCCGGAAGATTTTTTTTTTTAAATTTAGAACACAGAAATTCCCAATTTTCTGTATAACATTTGCAAAGTTGCCTATTCTTAAACAGTTTGTAAACTAAAGTAAAACGTTGATTACTGTCAATTAAAATCATAATATTGAATTTGGAAGAATAACAGAATTGAAAAGGGTCATTAGAAAGGTATTTGGGAGTTGCCTAGTACTACCCGAAAGAGTTGGAGTGTGTGAACTGAGGGAATCCAAATTAAAGTGCAAATTAAACTGATTATTTAATACTCTCCCATTTTGGCCAACTCTCAATGTCTAGAGCTGAGAAACTTGGAACGTTTCTCATAAAATGCAAATTAAACTGATTATTCAGGGCCTCGTTTTTTCCCCCCTTCAAGGCAAGACTAAAAACATTTGTGATTTTAGAGTGGGGTTCCGATGGGAGAGAAGAACTTGTTAAATGAAGGGGTTTCCTTCAAGGTGTGGTCCAAAAAATCAAGATGGCCACAACAATGCAATTGAAATTCCGTGTGTGTGTGTGTGTGTGTGTACATAAAAAACAGATATTGCAGTTTCATTCATTCATTCATTCATTCATTCATTCATTCATATTTCTATACTGTCCATGTCACCTAGGTGACTCAGAGGCTTACAGTGAAAACATGTCACGAAATACGAAAGCATAAATAAGGAGAACATTAAAATCAGAATTAAAAGATAGGGTTACAGATGGAGAAAATACCCTCTTGACATCAGTCATCCCCAGGTTTGCCTCACAACGGCACTGTGGTGGCCGCCATCTTGATTTTTTTTGGACCACACCCTGTGAAGACCACTGGATTGATGTATGGGCTGATGTCCTTCCGTGCTCCTGTTCCTTTAATGGACCAAGATTGTGCTGTTCTTTTGTTCTAGTTCCATCCAACCTGGAAGTCAATCAGTACTTCCGGAACATTCCCCTTCAACGGGCCGGGAACAAGACGGAGATTGCTCATAGTGTCCTCTATCTGGTCAGCCCCCTCTCGTCGTACGTGACCGGCACAACACTTGTGGTGGACGGTGGAGACTGGATGACTTCGGATAATTCCTTTCCCTCACTGTTGGGTATAGCTAAGCTATAGGTGAAGTTTCTTTCCCGGTCGGTGACTTTACAAGAGGGCCTCCCTTGAGTCAGCCTCAATTTCTGGTCCACATTTCGTTCCTTGCCATAGCGGAGAATTGATTGGCTCCAAACCTCTGGGATGTTTTTTTGGGGGGTGGAGGGGGGTTCCTAAGCCTGAGCAGACTTGACCTGGCTTAGTTTCCCAAGCCAAATCATCTTCAAGAAAAATGGAGGTTGAGATGATGGAGATTGAGATGAGAAAGCCATAAAGAAACAGGGTGATTTCCAACAGGGAGATGCCTACCATTATAGCAGGCAAAAGTGGCTGGATTGCGTGGTTCTTCACTCATACCCCAGCCTGTCTCCATGTGAAGAGCTAGCCAGCACCTTGGGGAAAGTTAGCAGTTTTTCAAGTTCAGTATCGAATCAGAACATAACCTTTATACAACAGTCCTATGAGGTTGGCCAGTCTTAGTGTGCTCTTAAGCCTCGTAGAAAATGAAAGGATTAGGAGATGTTTGGGTTTCACCTATAGACAGAAATATTGCCAGACTAAAGCAAACCATTTGCACCATTAATAATCATTATAGAGTCGTCGTGGCACAATGGTTAGAATGTAGTATTGCTGGCAAACTCTGCCCACAGTCTGAAGTTCGATCCTGATAAAGGCTCGAGATTGACTCAGCCTTTCATCCTTCTGAAATAAGTAAAATGAGGACCCAGATTGTTGGGGGCAAGATCTGACATTGGAAACTGTCCAGAAAGTGCTGTAAAGCACATTGGGGCGGTCTAAGTTTGCTATCATTAAATATATACTCTTCTAGGGAGGAGCCTTCTTCATTCTCTTTCTCCCAGTCAAACAATATAAACTTAGCTGTCTCTTGATCCTCTGGAATGCAGCCCCTCCCTCCTGGGAATCCAGACTACATTCCACCATATAAGAGAACGTATTTGTCTTTTGGTGTAGTACAGTACTGTGTATTCCAAACTTTGCAACATTAAGATGTGTGGACTTCAGCTCAGAATCCTGCTGGCTGGGGTATTCTGGAAGCAGAATGTCTTCTTCCTCAGGAAAAAAACAGTCCAGTTGCCTTTTGAAAAAACACCCGTGAGACAATCATGACCTGGATGACTGAGAATCTCCACAGATTCTCTTATCTGACCATTGTCTAGTCTGCTGCTCTTCTTCCTTTCTCTCAAGGTCACTTCTACCTACCATTACTCCCCAAATCTACTTTTGGAGTTCCAGAATAAGTTTTTATTTCCAGGTCATTTCTCTACTTGGATATTTCTTGTTTTCCCATTCAGTTTTCCCTTCCACCTATTTGAATGTTCCAATCACTTCCTGTCTCACTGTTTTATTACAGATTACTGGAGCACAGAACTAAAGAGAGATACATGAGAAAAGGACACCCCGGCATTTTAAGGAAGTGTCTTCAGTGCTTCCGGGCAAACCGTCTGTGGCAATGTACGGATAGCAGCCACTCACCTTTCCTAGTTTCAAGGTAGTTTAGATAACCTGGTTTGTAAGATGGGTCTTCATCGCACAAAAATTGGTGATGGTGGCACAAAAAAACCCCTACAGACTGAATCCTGTTCACCCACCAGGCTGTACTATGTCACCGGAAAGGTAGTTGAGGCTGAAGTCCTACCAGGGGCAGAAACAACTTTGATTATGATTTGATTGGCTTGTAAGCCTTCGTATCATTTGCCTCGGATAAGATGCTTCCAATTCATTCTCAAGTACAATGTTCAGTCCCAAAATGGCGAGTCTGCGTTTATCCAGCTCTTGCTGTGTGTGGCATTATCTGCCCCAATCACCCTGGTCCACTCCTCTAACAAATAAATACTCTACTTTTCAACAAACTCCCTTTTTACAACCCTGTAATCCCTTTAATTTGGGGTGGAGACAGGGCGACTGGATGGAGCTGAGCGTTTACTGGCTGGATGCCCTTCCTGACTCCACGGGGAAATTCTCGTTCATCTTCTAGCTCTGTCAGCCCATTCAGTAGCCATTCTGGGGAAAGATTTGCATCGTGATGCCGAGATGCGCTTGATGGAATAATGTAGCAGTGGTCAACCCTGATTTCTTCCCAGGGGCTGTATTTTTATTTTTATTTTCCTGGCTTCTGGGGGCCACGGGAGGTTGCTTAGAGCAGGAGTGTCCAACTTTGGCAAATTTAAGAACTGCAGACTTCAGCTCTCAGAATTCTGTGCTGGCTGGGGAATTCTAGGAGTCGAAGTCCACAGCTCTTAAAATTGCCAAGATTGGACACACCCACACACACACACCGGCTTAAAGGGTGACATCAAAGTTTGTAGCCTTTTTAAAAATAGTAGTGGTGTTGGGAAACTTACACAACGTCCATGCTTAAAGCTTAAAGCATGAATGTGCCTCATATGTCCTAACCCTCTCCCCTCCCCCAAAAATTATCTTTTTGGAACTGACGATATTTTTTTTGCCATTATTATAGTGGCAAACACAATTCGGAAACAGGATCCCATCTCTTCGGTTCATCCCACATAAATGCAAATAATGTTTTAAGGCTGCTTTTAGTGGGGGGGGGGGGAGAATAGATGTCTCCTCCCAAAATGTACGAACACTTCCTTGGGGAAAAGGTACTGTATTTTTATAGCCTTGGGTAAGAAATGGAACTTCCACGACCAGGGATAGTCTATCTGAAAGCCAGCTTGCAAAGAAGGAATCGCCACGAGACAGCTGTTGCATTTGTGCTGTTTGCTTTAAAAGCATCTGGCTTGGAAAACTTGGGGGGGGGGAGTACAAATGAGAATGTCAGACCCCCATTGCTCATGTTGTCTTTCCCCAGCAGATGCCCCCCCCTGCCTTTCCCGGGTGGGTTTCTGTCTTCTCTGTCAGGGAGTTTTCAAGTGAACCGTTGCTAAGCAATTAATCCTTCCTTTTGTCCGGAGCCAATGGGATTCCTGAAGCTGCCACTCTGCAATTCTTTTCGTAGCTATAGTAACAGGAGCATCCCTTGTCTTCAAGGATGCAGGCTTTGGACGGGCATCCTGAGCTGGGAACCAAGAGCATGCTGGTCCTTTTAGCACTGGAGGGAAGGATTTTGTCCAGTTCCCACAAACGTCCTTGTTTGTTTAGAAAGAAAAAAGTGTTGGGAATGATTTAGCTCAGTGCTAAATCCCAAGGGAGGTTCCTGAGACTGTTTGCTTATACATCAGGCAGGCAGTTCAGAGGAGAAGTCGAGAGTTGACGTGTGGGCGGTGATGGCACATAACTATTGATTTATTTCAAGATTTATCTCTCTTAGATTGGGTGACTCTGGAACAGCGTGCAACATAAACACCTCCTCGTCATCATCGTGATCACAAATAGCCAAAGATATAAATAGAAAAGCCAAATGATAAAATCCACCCAATTCCGACAACCAGAGTAAATAATAAGACCCTAAATTGGCCTCTTGGATATGAAAGCACTTTCCAAAGTCCTGTCTGGTTCAAATTTTAGACTGCAAATGCTGTAACCACCTTGTCTGGTCAAATTCCATATTTATGAATAGCTCTTTAGAAAAGGATAGTGTGTTTGCATGTGTCTATGTATGTATGTGTGTGTATATATATACACACACATGCATATATACACACACACACACACACACATATATATATTTGCTCAAATACAGGCTGGCATTTAACAGCATTTTAAAAGCTTTTTTTGGCCCCAAGAAAGGTGCAATTAATCATTCAGGAATGGTTGGGAATGAATAACCGAGGGTCAGTCCTGGCTGGGGAGAAATTAAGCAGAAACCCTGTCTTTTCTTCTTCTTTTTTTTCTCTTCCTCTCTTCTCAAAAACTTTTTGGAGAGATGAAAATGCCTTTGAGCTCCAGGCTTGATTCTTGGAAGTTAGAAAGGAAAACGGAGGGATGATGCTCCCGATATAAGAGGAAGAATTTTAGCGGTGCCTTGGCAGGAGAAGATACGTAAGACTCAAGAAGAGAGTTACTTTAAGTTACTTTAAGAACTATTTTATAATTGATGCCTGCTCTAGCTTCCCTCATTTTGCTCTCTCTATTTGTGAGGTTATGTCTAAAGCAGTGTTTTTTTTAAAGTTGGCCGCTTTAAGATGGGTGGACTTCAACCCCCAGAATTCCTCAGCCAGCCATGGAATTCTGGGATTGGTCCACACATCTTAAAGTGGCCAG